TAAGGTATGATTAGGTAACAATCGCTGTGTAATTGGTTTTTGAAAATATTTCATTTTTCGCAAGAAAATCGCGAATTCATGTCACATACTGGGCCTTTGCGTGACAGATGCTTGATTGCTAAAAATAGCTCTCAAAATAGCCAAACTTTATACCGAGTTCATGTAAAAACTAAAATAGCTATTTTAAAAATTTAAATTGCAGCTTTCTCACTAACTCTTTGATATTTATTTCAGTGATTTTCAGACCATTTAATTAAAAGGAAAATTTTCTGGAACTCGAAATATTCGCATATGTATTTTTATATGCAAATTAGTATCTTTACAAAACGATCATTTTTTAAACGTGCAAGTATTTTGTTTGCAATAAAATTCGGAGTGATTACTAAACAAGAGATGAGCTTTTCAAATACATAAAAATTAGTCTGGGCAAATCACTCTCAGTTGCATAGAAATGAATACTTCTGGCGATAATAATCCGTTGAAACACCAAATGTTTTAAACAACCGAAATTCATTTACATTGCCTAAAATGTTCAAAGAAAATATGCTTAACCCTTTTTATTTCAATAACATACGTTTAATGTTGATTAGATGTTTATATCCTTTGAAAATTGTTGGGTTAATACAACTGACAAAATATGTGTTTACGCTGATAATTTTGACTGGAATAAGTCATTCCTACGCACCTGAAAGTGATTTGCCCAGACTTATTATTATTTCTTTGTAAAGCTCATGCCTTGCTTAGTTATCACGCCGAATTTCATTGCAAACAAAATACTTGCACATAGAAAAAATAATCTTTTTTTCTAGGTGCTAATTTGCATATACAACTACATATGCAAACACTTAGAGTTCTAGAAAATTTTCTTTTTAATTAAATGCTCTGAAAATCAACGAAATAAATAAGAAAGAGTTACTTAGAAAGCAACAATTTAAATTTTTGAGATTACTATTTTACATTTCACACAAGCTCGGTAGAAAGTTTGGCTATTTCGAGTGCTATTTTTAGCCATCAAACATTTGTCACGCAAAGGCCCAGTATGTGACATTGTTTCGCGAGTTTCTTGCGAAAAATGAAATATTTTCAAAAACCAATTACACAGCGATTGTTACCTAATCATACCTTATCAATATACAAAATATGAATAGATTTGATTTTTCGAGCCTTGCCAAGATATGTCTGATTTTTGCGCGAAGTTGCTCTTAATTTTTTTAATTTTGTCACATAAATTGAGGGTGTAGTTTTCACATAAATTGAAAATGTAGAAGCTGAAAAACATATTGATGATTTATTAGACATAACAATCACAAGTAATATCAAAGTCGTTTTTGACCATAAAAACATTACATAACCCTATTTTGGACCTTGAAAACCTTTTCCAGGAACAAAATTATTTGAAAGAAGCAAGGGCACCACATTTGCTTGTCAGCTCCTCCTGAAAGTTTTTGTCTTTATACTTAGATCCAGATGAGTAAGCCACCTCTTGCATCTGGGTTCGTCTTTAGTGAATTTTGGGTTGCTACAGTTGACTCGACTCGCTTGTTTGTTTTATAACT